ATATATATACACGTGCAAATTGAAATAGAATAAGGAATGGTTAATTCATTTGAAAATAACGTGATTATCTACTTAAATATTATAATATTTTGCTATTATCCTAAAAGGACCATTATTAAGTAATAAAATAATACATATAAATCATACTTCTTTGAATTGAAATAACTTGGGCTTAACTTATCTGATTTCATATTTTCTCGAGCCCAATCTACATTATTTAATACGAGCTACAAAATGAGCCCAATGTTGATATACTTTTGGTCATTCTATAAAAAGTTAAATATTTCACCCATTTAAAACATAAGAATTTAATATTTTATTTTTAGTCCCTCAACTTGCAAAATCATAAAATTGAATACAAAATTTTATTCTAAAATTTTCGGGGTGCTACAGAATAGTTGTTTGCACCATAAAAAGAAGTCCATAAATCAGCCACGAGAGTTGCACAAGATGAGTGAAATCCCCGATGCACCAGAATTGATCGCGGTTCAGAGTTGTACCTCCGATACCATGTCAAAATGGAAAGAGAGCTTTGGAAAAAAATGATTTGCCTTTGTGGTAATTCTCATTAAAAGGCAGTAAGCTAAACGCTTTACTAGGAAAAGAGAAATCACAGGAGATCTCCTAATATCTAATCTGTAATTACCTAAAAAATAGAATCTAAATATGGTTAAGAATATTATATAGCTAGGTTCGCGTGTAGAACTATTATAGACAACATGTAACACCCAGACTTAAGGCATAGTCGACCCTGGGCCTTTAGTTCTAGGTCTTTAGTTGCGTTAATCTCCCATATTTTCTTGTTCGGGTCCTAAGACTATAGGAATGAGGAAAACGTAATAAAACAGTGTCCACATACATTAGAATCAAAACTATCCTTTGAAGTCTTATGGCAGATTCAAAGGCTATGGTGGTGATGCTCACATATCTATACCCTCTGTGATACCATGTTTTTTTTTGGAAGGTAATCGAGTATTTTATTGATCAATGCATAATACAAAGGAAGTGTATTATTACTTTAAATCAGAAAATAACAACATGAAATTAGGCAGGTCATCTATATGCCTAGTAGCCGCTGCATAAAACCAATTATACAATGTTAAATAAAAAAACTCCCTAATCTGCTCCGTTGTCCGTGTTAAATCTTCAAAGCAGCGGTTGTTTCTTTCTCTCCAAACACACCATACGATACAACCTAAAATAATCCTTATTTCGAAACTCTCCTTCATGCCTTTAAAACGTCTTCCATACGTCTCGGCAACACCCAATCCCTGTGTTGCGACGCCAAAATATCATTCCACAATAAACGAGTGAGATCACAATGAAGAAACAAGTGATCAACCGTCTCTCTATCCCTCTTGCACATATAATACCACTATGTGACATAAAAACCTCTCGTACGAAGATTATCCACCGTTAACACATGTCCTCTGATCACCGTCCATAGTAAAAATGCCGCTCGTGGGGGCAATTTACATTTCCAAACCATCTTCCATGGGAATGAACTCTCCACAAGTCCCAATAAAGATCTAAAATAAGTGCGAACAGAAAAACAATCGTCCCGTGTCAACATCCACCTCTACAATCACCCTCTTGCTCTGATGTGTACCTCGTACAGGGATGCCAAGAACAGCACATAATCATCCAATTTCCAATCCTGCAAACCCCGACCAAAAGCTATGTTCCAACTGAAGCTCTCATTATGAACATCTAATACATCATGCACCATAGCAGATGACACCAACGCAATACGATACAAAGTACGAAACAAAGAATGAAATCTCACCTTAAGCGATTGATCTCCACACCAACAATCATCCCAAAAACTGATGGTGTTGCCATTCCCTACAACAGAAGACAATCTATCACGAAAGTCGCTCTACCCTCGTCGTATATACCGGCACAAACTCACCCCATTAGAATCACGATTCTCAACTGAGCACCATCCCCCTTCCATAACTCCATATATAGCCCCTATAATTTCTCTCATAAAACTCTCCCTCTCCACTCCAAATCTCCACAACCACTTACCCAACAAGGTCTTATTAAACAATGCGAGACTCCTCAATTCGAGACCACCCAACCTTATGGGGGAACAAACTACAGCCCAGTTAACCAAATGTAATTTCCTCTCCTCCCCAAAGAAACTCCCTCTGGATCCTCTCTAATCTTTTATCTACTGCACCAAGAATCGGAAACAATGACAAAAAATAAGTAGGAAGATTCGACAACGTAGACTTTATGAGACGGCCTCCCTTAGACAAATACATGCGCTTCCAACCCGCCAGCCTTCTCTCCACCCTTTCCACAATACTGTTCCATATTTTTGTACTTTTAAACCGCGCTCCTAATGGAAGCCCGAGATATGTCATAGGCAGTTGCGCAACCCTGCAACCTAATATTGCAGCTAACTCTTCCACGTTATCGACCTCTCCCACTGTGATAGCTTCAGATTTTCACAAATTTATTTTCAATCCAAATACGGCCTCAAAGCATAGGAGTAGACGGTGCAAATTCCTAAATTGCTCAACATCCGCATCGCAAAAAATAAGCGTATCATCTGTAAATAGTAAACGAGAAACCTGCAGCTGCTCAACAAAAAAACGCCTCAACAAACTTTCCTTTACAACCTTCTCAAGCATCCTACTAAAAGCTTTCATGACAATGACAAACAGCAATGGAGACAAAGGATCCCCTTGCCGCAATCCTCTGCTACTACGAAAATAACCCTCTGGAGTGCCATTAACCTAAGCTGAGAAAGAAACTGTAGAGATACAAAACTGAATCCACCGGCACCACTTCTCCCCAAAACCACATCGCCTTAGCATATACAAAACAAATCCCCAATTGACGTGATCATAAGCCTTCTGGATGTCAAGCTTACATAACATTCCTGGAACCCTCAAACCCAGTTTTGAGTCGATGCATTCATTTGCAATAAGTACAGAATCCAAAATCTGGCGCCCTTTAACGAAAGCATTTTGAAATTTTGACGCCACTTTTCCCAACACCTCCTTTAATCTATTCGTCAAATTTTTGCAATAATCTTGTAAATCTCACTCACTAGGCTAATAGGACGAAAGTCCTTAATATCTGTCGCTCCTGGTTTCTTAGGAATTAACACAATAAACGTAGCATTAGCGCTTCTTAAAAACTTCCCACGCTGGAAGAAATACGTAAAGACATCCACAATGTCTGATCGAACCACTTCCCAACAAGCCTTATAGAATGAGAAAGAGAACCCGTCAGGTTATGGAGCCTTATTATCATTCATACTGAACACCACCTCCTTAATTTCATCCTCCCCAAAAGGTCTCTCTAACCAACTAGCGTCCTCCTTATCAATAGTAGAAAAATCTAACCCATCTAATTCAGGTCTCGAGTCCCATTGTTTGCGATAAAGAGTCTGATAAAAACTTACCATTTGGGTCCCGATATCTTATGGATCCTCACAAGTAACCCCGTCAACCTCCAACATATTAATAGAATTGTTGCGCCTATTAGAATTAGCGACCTTATGGAAAAATTGGGTGCATTTGTCCCCCTCTTTCAACTACTTGACCCTAGATTTCTGGCGCCAAACTGTCTCTTCCATCTCTGCCAATCTCTCCAACTTTTCCCTTAATTCGCCACGTCTCGCCCTATCATCCCCTACTAGTCCTTGACTTTCCTCCCTCCTATCCAACTCTTCTATATCTGCAAGACATTGATTTTTACGATATGTAACATCTCCCACCACCACCTCTTAAGATCCCTTTTCAATGCTTTCAATTTCCGATCTAACACATAACTATGAGAGCCTTTGAAGCCATAAGATGTCCACTAAGACTGAACTCGTTCCCAAAAACCTTCTACTTTGAGCCACATCTTCTCCAATCTGAAAGGTCTTCCTCCACTGCGTCTCATTCCTAGATAACGAAATAGGGAAATGATCTGAATACAACCTCCCCAATCTTCTCTGAGTGACCTCTGGGTACTTAGCTTCCCATTCACCACAAACCAAAAATCGATCAATTCTAGAATGGACAGGTTGGTCTCGATTAGAAGACCAAGTAAAGTCTCCCCCAATCAAAGGCAAATCCACGAGCATGTTCTCCTCGATAAAATTTGAAAAGTCCTTCATAGCCCTTGTTAATCTCCCCCACTAGATCTCTTAGTAGAAAATCGAACCACATTAAAATCACCTCTTAAACACGTTGGGAGGTTCCACCAAGTCATCATCCCAGTTTATTCATCCCACAATCCACCTCTACTTTCATCAACATTAGGCCCATAAACTCCTAAAAACATCCACTGAAAGGCGAGACAATGGCACAAACTAGGGAAAATGTGAATAAAGTGATTCAAATGTTTTAACTTTTAAGTGAGACTTGTCCTATGCTTTTAAGGCCAAGCTTTAATATTGTGATAAAATTAATACAACAGATGATCAAAGATGAAAGAATGAGTAAATTCGGTGAACAATAGAATGTGTTGTTTTCATTTATGATGATAATAATTCATTTGTGTATTGTAAAATCTCCAAAACATAATTACGAATACATTTGGTTAACTCCAAGTTTATTGTGTATAAGCTTAGCTTCTAGTAGTGGTGTATGTGATGATATCTCTGATCAAGCCTATGTTTAAGCATATAAACTCAACCAATTGAGATATGTTATTGAAGACATGGTTATCCACAAAAAAGTCAATTACTGTGAAATAAATGCACTTAGTCTGGCACAAGTAACTAAATAACTAGAACTAAAGAGTCCGTTTATTATACTAAACCAATTGAAATATAGTCAAGAAACACAACATGCCTGGTAAGAATATCCAGAACAAAGTAAAAAATGTTATTATTCTCATGAAAATCCCCAATAATGTTGACCTAAGCAACTACAATGCAAGAACTAAATAGTCTGCATATTGGTGGGGCTTGATCTTGGATCTCATGTGCTAGGGCAATAACCTTTACCACTTGAGGTACGTTGCATTGGCCACAATTTTAAAACTCTGACTTACAATATTTTCAGTAATAGCACTAGAAGACGGTCATAAACTGGTTGAGCTATTGCCCTTGAGCAATCTTGTTGGGAGTTGTTGCTTAGAATTGGAAATTTTGGCAATCATCGACTAAATTGTTTATTTTATTATGACTTGCTTCTTCATTTTGATCATTTTGCCTTGTGCATACTGGAATTTGGGAAGTCTCCAAAAAAAAAAAAGAAAAAAGGAAGGTTGTTGGCTCACCAAACGTAATGTTTCCAACTACAAGGGTAACCATTTCTGTATTAATCGTATTGATTCTCAATAAAAAAAAAAGAAGAAGGTTTTTGGCTCACCAAACATAATGTTTCCAACTACAAGGGTAACAATTTGTGTATTAATCTTATCAATTCACAATCTGCATGAAGTTTGATACCATTTTAATATGCTTAGGCTTTACCCACCAGCATTTGTATATCATGATGTTCATTGTCAGATCATTTTGAGTTACTATAAGAAATTTGTGGTTATGCTATGTCGTGCCACCCTATGCTCAATTGTGAAATATACGGTGGTTGAATGCAATTACAGAAGTGCTTATAAATCCTGACAATTATATTAGTGATATTCTATAATGTCCTAAGGATCTGTTGCGGCGAATGCATATGAATTCTAATTGCTGTCCCTTTTTCTTCTATTCAGTTCCTAAGGCTTCTTGCAGAAGAAAGTGGTGGCATGCCTTCAGAAGCTGTAGATAAGGAACATGCTTTGGCGAATGGCGTGGATGCCATGGCTTCAAGCATGGAAAGAAATTCTGTTGATGATGAGTCCAAAAAGGAGAAGCATCGTGAGTATAAGAATGCTTGTCAGGAGAAGTTTTCGAGTGCTGAAATAGTGTCCAAAACTAAACAGGAAGAGGAAAAAGTGCCTGACAATAGTCCGAAGGAGATAAGTCACAAGCAATCTATCACTGAACAAGTACATATACAAGCCAGCTTTGAATTTGATGAAAAACAATTGGAAGAGGTAAGTTATCCAAGGAAAGTGGCAGTTCTATATGAACTTCTTTCAGCTTGTCTGGCAGATATACCTGGAGACGACAAGAAATGCACCAGGCAAAGAAAGGGATATGATGCAAGACACCGTGTGGCATTACGGTTGCTAGCTGCATGGTTTAATGTGAAGTGGATAAAACTGGTATACTTGCACTTTATTGATTCAATTGTCCAGCCATATATTGTGCAAACCCTATAAAATTTCTAACATTCAGCGGCATGATATTTTGTTTTATGATGCTTTAAGTTGCTTGTTATGGATAAGAATGCCAAGTAGTTTTGCGCTTTATATGAGATATGATGGACCTAGCTAAGGAATGTCGTATTATGTTAAATTTCGTACTAGGATTGCGTCGGTAACAGTGTACAAAAAGGATTCTGTGCATTAACATGAAGCAGCAGACCTTCTCTATCTTGTGAACTGAATTGTTGGGGTAGTGTGAAGGATTTTATGTTCATGCCTTTGTATCAAGCAAAATGAAGTACAAATATTGCTAATTCTGAATCAAGCATGAAAAATGGTATGGTCATAAATATATGAAGTCTTCTAGCAGCCCAATAGCATGCGGCGTGGGTCTTACGGGGTGAGTCTATGGAGGTATATTCGACGAGGATGGAATGACTTTTGGAATAGTTTGACTTTTGTGGTGGGGAATAGTAATAATATCAGATTTTGGGATGATTGTTGGTGTGGAGATATACCGCTAAAATTGGGGTTTCCTCCCTTGTATCGCATTACTATGATGCCTTCTGCTATGGTGATTGACGTTTTAGCCATCCACAATGGGAGTTACAGTTGGAATATCACTTTTCAGAGGGGTTTGCCGGATTGGGAATTGGATGACTATGCATTGTTTCTAACGGATTTGTATGAGGTGCAAATTCGGGTAGGGGAGGATGATCATAGTCGATGGAGGGTGGCACGGAATGGTATTTTTTCAGTTAGCTCTTATTTTAGTTCTCTCTTGGGACCTGTGGAGAGTTCATTCCCCTGAATGTTGGTGCGGAATTGCAAATTGCCCCCAGGGTGGCATTTTTATTGTGGACGGTTGTGAGGGGACAGACATTAACGATAGATAATCTCCGTAAAAGAGGCTTTTATGTTATCGAGTGGTGCTATATGTGTAGGAGCAATGAGGAGACGCATGACCACTTGTTCATTCACTGTGACGATGTCCGTTGGCTGTGGAATAGTATTTTGGCTTCTCAACATATTGATTGGGTTTACCTAAACGTATAGAGGACGTGTTACGGGTATGGAGGAGGAAACTTCGTAATAAGGATAGCAAGCTAGTATGAAATCTTATCCCGGGGTGCATTGTATGGTGTGTGTGGAGGGAAATGAACAACCGATACTTCGAAGACCAAATACGGACCACAGAGCAATTTAGAGAACAATTTTATCTGACTTTGTATACTTGGTTTAATGCAGTGACTAGCAATTCTGTAGAGGGGCTGCCTAACTTCATATCTTTTTTTTCTTGTATAAACTGATAATACACTTTCTATGTATTCTTTTGATTAATAAAATTTTCTGATCATCTATATAAAAAAAGAAATCTTTTTTACCTGTTTTAAAAATCTGCTTATAGTATCCTGGGGAGTATAACCGAAGTTTTTTTTTTGAAAGGTAATCAGGTATTTTATTAATCAATGCATAATACACAGGAAGTATATTATCAATTCAAATCAGAAAGTAACAACATGAAATTAGGTAGCCTGTCTATATACTCAGTAGCCGCAGCATTAAATTAATCCGCTCCAATGCAATACGATACAAAGAAGGAAATCACACCTTAAGCGGTTGATCTCCACACTAACAATCATCCCAAAAGCTGATGTTATTACCATTCCCCATTACAAAAGACAACCTATCCCGAAAGTCGCTCTACCCTTGTCGGATATACCGCCACAAGCTCACCCCATAAGAACCACGTCTCTCACCTGAGCACCATCCCCCTTCCATAACACCATATTTTGCCCCTATAATCTCTTCAAAAACTCTCTCCACTTCGAATCGCTACAACCACTTATCTAGCAAGGCCTTATTAAAAAGTACTAGACTTTTCATTCCAAGACCATCGAATCCAATAGGAGAACAAACTGCACACCAGTTAACCAAATGTAATTTCATTTTCTCCCCTAATCCTCCCCAAAGAAACTCCCTTTGGAACCTCTCTAATCTTTTTGCCACTACAACAAGAATAGAAAACAATGACAAGAAATAAGTAGGGAGATTCGACAAAGTGGATTTTATGAGAGTAAGACGGCCTCCCTTCGAAAGGTACATACGTTTCCAACCCGCTAGCCTTCTCTCCACCATTTCCACAATACTGTTCCAAATCTGTGTGCTTTTAAACCGTGCTCCTAAAGGAAGCCCAAGATATGTCATAGGTAATTACGCTACCCTGCAACCCAAGATCGCAGCCAACTCCTCTACGTTATCGACCTCTCCTACTGTGATAGCCTCATACTTTCCCAAATTTATTTTCAATCCAGAAACGTCTTCAAAGCACAAGAGTAAACGACACAAGTTCCTGAATTGCTCATCATCCACATTGCAGAAAATAAGCATATCATCTGCAAATAGCAGATGAGAAACCAGCAATTCCTCAACAACAAAGCCTCTTAACAAACTTTACCCCATGGCCTTCTCAAGCATCCTACTGAATGCTTCCATAACAATGACAAACATCAATGGTGACAAAGGATCATCTTGCCTCAATCTTGTACTATTACGAAAATAACTCTCCGGAGTGCCATTCACCATAATTGAGAATGAAACCGTAGAGATGCAAAACTGAATCCACTGGCACCACTTCTCCCCAAAGCCACATCGCCTGAGTATAAGCAAAACAATTCCCCAGTTAACGAGATTTATGCCTTCTGAATGTCGAGCTTACATAACATTCCTGGAACCCCTAGCCGCAATCTTGAATCAATGCATTTATTTGCTATAAGTACGGAATCCAAAATCTGGCGCCCTTTGACAAAGGCATTCTGAAATTTAGACACCACTTTCTCCAGCACCTCCTTCAATCTATTCGCCAAAATCTTTGCGATAATCTTGTATACCCCACTTACCAAGCTAATGGGTCGAAAGTCCTTAATATCCGTCGCTCCCAATTTCTTAGGAATTAGCATAATAATGTAGTATTGGTACTTATTAAGAATCTTCCACACTGAAAGAAATAGGTAAGAACCTCCACAATGTCTGATTGCACCACTTCCCAACAAGCCTTATAGAATGAGAAAGAGAACCCATCGGGTCTTGGGGCTTTATTGTCATTCATGCTGAACACCACCTCCCTAATTTCATCCTCCCCAAATGGTCTCTCTAACCAATTAGCATCCTCATTAATAGTAACAAAGTCTAGCCCCTCCCATTCTGGCCTCCAGTCCACATGCTCACAATAAAGATTCTGATAAAAGCTTACCATATGGGTCCCGATATCCTGTGGATCCTCATAAGTGACCCCATCAACCTCCAACATAGTGATAAAATTGTTGCACATATTGGAATTAGCTACCTTATGGAAAAATTGGGTGCATTTGTCTCCCTCTTTCAACCACTTGACCCTAGATTTCTGACGCCAGACAATCTCCTCCATCTCCACCAACTTTTCTAACTTTCCCCTTAATTCTCCACGTCTCGCCCTATTGTCCCCTAATAGTCTTCCACTTTCCTCCCTCCTATCTAACTTTTCTATATCTGATAGGCATTGATTTTTGCGATGGGTAACATCTCCCACCACCTCCTCATTTCACCTCTTAAGATCTTTTTGCAAAGCCTTCAATTTCCGATCTAACACATAACTAGGAGACCCCCTAAAATCATAGGAAGCCCACCAATTCCGTACTTGTTCCCCGAAACCTTCTACTTTTAGCCACATAATCTCAAACCTAAAGACATTCTTCCACTGTGCCTTGCATTCCTAGATAACGAAATGGGTAAATGATCTGAATACAACCTTCCCAATCTCCTTTGCGGGACCTCTGGGTACTTAGCCTCCCACTCCCCACAAACCAAAAATCGATCTATTCGAGATTGGATGGGTGGTCTCGATTGGATGATCAAGTAAATTCTCCCCCAATCAAAGGCAAGTCCACCAACATGTTCTCCCTGATAAAATCTGAAAAATCCTCCATTGCTCCTATTAATCTCCCCTCAATGGACCTCTCAATGGGAAATCGAACCACATTAAAATCTCATCTAATACACGTTGGGAGGTTCTACCAATTCATCATCCCAGCCAATTCATCCCACAATCCACCTCTACTTTCATCTGCATTAGGCCCATAAACTCCTATAAATATCCAATGAAAGCTATCCCCAATATTTCTAAACGAAAGCGATAGAGAGAATAACCTTTCACTAACCTCCTTCATATCAAAAACTCTAGTGTCCCACATTACTAGCACTCCTCTTGATGCCCCCGATGATCCTGCAAGCTAATACCCCCATGTTGTCCCCCCCAAAGGCTGCACACAACCGCTCTTGAAACGATCTCAAACTTTGTTTCTTCTAGACATACAAGGTCAGCCCTCTATCCCCTTAATAGATTCCGAACACCCAATCTTTTGCAAGATTCATTAATCCCCCTCACATTCCAACTAGTTATTTTTGGAATCATCTTAACATTTCGTCATCCCTCCTCATGTGACCTCTCCTTGACTCTCCACCGTTGAGATCATAATTAACCGAGCATTCGAGACGCTTAAGCTCCAGATCCCCCTTTCTTCTTTTCTTGCCTCTTGATGTACCCAACCCATTTCTCCATTAGCCTCCAGTTCCTCGAATAGTTGTAAAAGCCTATTTTCATACCCATCACATGACACACCTATATCTTGTTGAAATTCAAAATTTTTTGAAGGATCCAATTTGATGGTCGATGTCTATCGTCAAGTGCACTAACTTCCATCATCTCCTCAGCATAAATGGGATCATAACAGCGTCCGTCCCCTTCCTCCACCCGTACAACGTCATAGTCCGTATCCCCCTTCTCGGCGCCTCCAACCCACACTACCAAAGCATTATCATTCCCTGAATCCCCTTTCTTCGGAGACTTGGAATATCTCCTACAGTAGGTATTCACTATCATAGTTGCCGAACCTATCGGCCCTTGCTATTTCTCAAGTGCCAACACTGAACTATCTACCAATACAGTTCCGTTCCCTTGCTCACTAACCAACAATAATCCCTTTACAGATGGAATCGCGTCCAACGCACCCTTATTTGTAGGACATTTTGTAGTTTCTAATAACTCCGAATTCAAATTCATAGTACCTGGCTCCCCTACCTCAACCCAAGGTTCTACCTCTCGATATACCTCGACCATTGAATCCATTTCATCCCGATCTGTTTCCTCCGTCTCGACCTTATTTCCATCACCGTAGGAATTCACCACTTCAGTCCGAGTCTGAGATTCACCTCTAGGCTTATCCACCACCTGCTTATCTTTAGTTTGGGCCCTTATCGATGGTAATTCCTTAGAATCCAAATTCGCTACAAATTTTCCATTTGCTGGAGACTCAGCTAATCCCACCCCACACTTATGACATTGAGTGATCCTAGAACCCTCTATAGACCCACTCTCCACTACCTTGATCAAATCATCAAATTCCCCTTTCAATTCCGAGCGAATATGACTTGCAATAGTTTTCATGTTTTCTTGGATTTTGATTAAGGTTAATGACCGAGACATTTTGATTAAAAAGTTTGAAGCAAAAATAATGACATTTCTGTTGTCATTAATATTGCTATAATCAAAGTTGGTGTTGATGCTCAATGCTTTTTCGAAATCAAAAAAGCAAATGTGAGTTGACATAGTTTTTGATTTTGGTTTAGGGTTAAATGGCCGTGTCATTTTTGTCCTATATTCTTCTTTTCTAAGATGTTGTCGTTTGTCTTCAGTCATCTGATTTCTTTCTTTATGATCCATCTTTAAGAGAAATAACTATTAAGTACTATATCTGATACATGTCTATGCCTATGAACCTCACATAATATGTCAAACTTTCATGAGAAGAGCATTAGATCGCTGTTGAAAAATATCCTTCCTTAGAATTTTTTGTAAGCATTTGTAGTGATAGGATTTTGAATTGGTTTTTGCATCTTGTCATTTGTCTTCTCAAATTATGCCTTTACAGGAAGCCATGGAAACCATGGTTGCTTGTTCGGCAATGGCTCTATTAAAAGAGGAAGAATCAAAAGAAGAAACCCAATCTCCAAAAACCTCATGGGCTAAGTGGAAACGTGGAGGTATCATAGGTGCTGCTGCATTAACTGGAGGAACCTTAATGGCAATTACTGGCGGTATGGTACATTTTTTACCATCCTGGATTGTTTGTGCGTTTGTACATATTCCTAGAAAGAGCTCAGTTATTTTTGGTCAAAGCAAACAAGTTTTTATGGAATATACATATTTACTCTTCCAAGTCTCTCTACATCAGGTTTAGCTGCTCCAGCAATTGCGGCAGGGTTTGGTGCTTTAGCACCCACATTAGGAACTATAATCCCAGTGATTGGAGCAAGTGGGTTTGCTGCTGTTGCCACTGCTGCAGGAAGTGTTGCTGGTTCTGTTGCAGTTGCAGCATCTTTTGGTGGTGAGTACTTAGATGGATTGGTAGGATAGCAAAATATCTCATCTGAATTCTTTTCTTGCTGAGTATCTTAATATAAAAAATTGGTGATTGAGCTATTGTTGATGCTATGATCTTCACGCCATGAAATAACAATTTTAATGACCTCAATTCATCTGAAAAATCATCGGATTACTTCTTTAATCTAATTTTTTTTTTCTGACATTTCTATCCACCCAGCTGCTGGAGCTGGACTTACAGGTAGTAAAATGGCTAGGAGAATTGGAGATGTTGATGAATTTGAGTTCAAAGCGATAGGAGAAAATCATAACCAAGGAGTAAGTTTTATAGCTTTGCCTAAATAGAAAAAAGAAAAGATGTTTGGATACATTCTCATACCTTTAATCCCTGGTAGGTTGTTTAATGTGATTTAGTGGATATTACCGTCCATGTTGAAAGCTTCTGCATTATTTTATTTTTAACTTCTTATAAAGTGGAAACGTGTTTGTTTGTGGGCACATGCATTTTTTTGTATTTCCTCATTTAAGCTTATTTTGTCAGCTGCTAGCAGTTGAGATCTTGGTGTCTGGATTTGTTTTTGAGAAGGAAGATTTTGTGAGACCTTGGGAAGTACAACATGATAACTTGGAGAGGTAGACTGTCTTTTCCTACATGTTTTAGTGCTACGACTAAAGATATTAATGTTATGATATCCTCTCTTGTTGAGGTCTGGCCTGCCGTGGTAGTTGGGCAAAGCAAGTGATGTTAACATGTCATATTTTTCTTTTGAAATTTTTAGAATTTGTCCAGTGAAACTCCTTGGTTATGATGTTGCAGGTCTTCTTACCAACTCTATATGGTAGAGACTTGTATTCTTCTGAACATATTTTATGACAATGTTCTTTCTTAATATTTCTTAGGTATGCACTGCAGTGGGAGTCTAAGAATCTAATTTCTGTAAGCACAGCAATTCAAGACTGGCTTACTTCAAGTAAACAATTTTGTCCTTGCAGCTGAATATTGCTTAACTTGCTACCTCCATTGGAATTGTGCAATATGACATAACATGATTACTTGCTGCAGGACTTGCCATGGAAATGATGAAGCGAGGTGCCATGATGACTGTACTAAGCTCACTTTTAACAGCATTGGCTTGGCCAGCAGCATTACTTACTCTTACTGACTTTATCGATAGCAAATGGGCAATTGCTGTGGACAGGTTTTCCTAGTCACTTGATTGTCAATAAGATAACAATGTCAACAAGGAAAATAAGCTGTTCAAAAATTAATTTCCATTGAAACTGAGTCTTTGTGGTAGGAGGACAGATATTTACTTAGATCTGCTGGATCTAGGATATTTAATAAAAAAAACCTAATTGCTAGTTGAGAAATGATTGGACACTATCAATTATATTCTTTGATAAATTTTCCTTTAGGGGTGTGGGTAGGCAAAGCATTTTATGAAAATGTACGAGTTTTTCTTTCTTTTTGTTTTGTGTGTTGCAATTGTATGATATGTTATGATATGTAGCAAGGATGATGGCTTCTCTTTCATATATTGTGATGTTGTCCATGTTTAGAGTGATTGATGTAGTACATCACAACTACAATTAATAGTTTCACTTTATCTAGGAGTTTGTCTTTTTTAAATTATCTTTTCTGATGTCCTTTTCTAGTTGTAATAGGTTTATTCTTAAATCTTGTTTAGATTATGATTAGTTTATTTCCTTTTAGAATTTAGTTTCTTTATTTTAGTTTTCTTTTATTAATAGGATTATGGACAATTTTGTCTATAAATATAGGGGTATAAATATAGGGGTATTGTACACTTTTTAATCAATCAATCATATATCAATACAAAGTAAGATTATTCCAATATAATTCTTATTTTCAATTCTTATTACAAGAATTTTTAAACGCTTCCGCACCAAAATTGGTATCAGAGCAAGGAATTCTCCTCAATCTGATGGCTGAGGATGGTTTGAATGGCAAACAAACCACCGACAACGAACGGAGGTTTGAAAATATTGAACGACTAGAAGGGATGAATGAAACTCTTCGCAATATCACGCAGATGCTAATGCGATGATTATTGAGAAGCATCATGCACCCAAGGCAGAACAGATAGGCGGGCAGAAAAATGTACGGAGAGATATCAACTCAGATTCCGACGATGAGGAAGATGCTAACCTGAATGTAAGAAATCATGGGGTTCCAGCAAGGAGGGAGACGCGCCCTATTACCCATCCCTACGTCGACCCAGGTGTGGGGGAAGGACGTTGGCCCCTTGCAGATGATCGACTTTGGCAGCAGAACCCAGAAATACATGATAGAGTTGCCTGGTGCGCGAACCCAGTCGCGAATCGCGACCCTTGTGAAGCTGCCTCTATACGGTTCTACGAGCGAAGAAACAGGTGAGATGAAGGCAACCTCCGGCGAAGGGTTCCAATCGGCGGCGACGAGGAGCTCAGTGACCGATCGCGAGCTCCGAGGAAAAATTTTGAGCGAGAGGCAGAGGCGCTATTTGATTTTAGGGAAGGAATCAATTTTGACCCACATAATTTTGACTGATGCTATAATGTTGAAACTGGTTACAATGTTGATCGAGGAGTTAATTTTGATCGAGATCCTAATTTTCAGCCGAGGGATAGAGGCTTTTAACAAAGAAGGCCACGGGGTTTCGACTATTTATCCGAAGAAGATAATTTTCGACCAATGGCTAATAATTGGGGTATAAATGTTCAAGAATTTAATATGAAGATGGACTTGCCAAGTTTTGACGGCCGATTAAATATTGAAGATTTTTTTGTTTGGATCCATACCGTCGAAATTTTTTTTCGACTATTTGAATATCTCGGATCAAAGTCAAGTTAAGCTTGTGGGGTGTAAATTAAAGGGTAGAGTTTCGGCATGGTGAGAACAACTTCAATTTAATTGTCAATAACAAGGAAAACGTGTGCAAACTTGGCCCAAGATGAAACGGTTATTGCTAAGACGATTTCTCCCTCCAAATTATGAGCAATTTTTGTACCAGCAATATCAGAATTGTCGACAGAACAACCGAACAGTAAACTAGTACACGAAGGATTTCTATCGTTTAAATGCCCAAGTTAATATTTCTGAAACAGAAGCTCAATTAATTGCTTGATATATAGAAGGCCTAAAATTAGTCATTCAAGATCAATTAGCTCTTCAGGAGGTTTAGACCATGACAGATGCAGTCAATTTAGCAATGAAAGTGGAAAATCAGATGAATAGGACCACAACACGTACTCAAGGCAATCTTCGACGACCAATTCAAGAAACTTATTCTACTCCAAATGGTGCAACGACATCAGGCAACAATAATAATAACAGCAAGGGTACCACTAGGGCTGTAAATGGATCGGATATGGATCGGATCTGCCTATATCTGATTCGATAAGAAAATTTATCCGATCCGATTCGATAATCCAATGGATATTTAATTGCTAAATCCATATCCGATTTGCAATGTTATCAGATATCCGATCCGAAATTAATAAAAATTAGGAGAAAAATTTTTGAACTAACTTGAGGCCCACATATTTTTCCTAGCAAGCCCAATAGTGATTTCTATCATCATGATGTTCCTCTTTAAAGGAGAGACCATTTTCTATTTTTCTATTGACATTCGATGTGGGATAATGTAAAATTGAATTTCAATTCTAAATATAAATATTTTATTTCATTATTTCCTTTAACAAATCAAATTATTTGTTACATATTAATTAGTAGTTTTTGAATTTGTAAAATAAATTACAATAATAAATTTAATTAAGAAAAATATAGATATTTATTCACTTTAAATTAGTAAACTAAAATTAGAAAAACATTGGTTGAAATCAACTTTTTTTTTAATTTTCCAATTCTTAAACAAGTTTAATAATTATAATTTTTTTTTAACTTTTTTATGTTTTGAATTTGATTATTTTTTATTCTAAATTTATTTATTTTCTCATTTATTTATTTTAGTGAAAAATAATATGCCATGAAAATATTTTACCCACTCAATTATTTATAACAAATCGGATCGGATTGTTATCGGATCGGATTGACATATATCCATATTTGATCCATTTAGTTAACAGATTATCGGATTCGGATCTTGATCGGGTTATCGGACCGAGACCCTAAATCCATCTCCCATTAATTTCGTCGGATTCGGATCAAAATCCAATCCATGACAGCCCTAGGTACCATGCCAATTCAGAATTCGGTACAGAATCAAATTGGAACTTCAGCTCCTATTTAATCTAACATTCAAAACAGAAACCAAGCACAGCAACAAACAAATAATGACCCTTATGCGCGTCCTAATCTTGGAAAGTGCTATCGGTGTAACCAACCAGGACATTTTCAAATAGCTGTCCAAATAGGTGATCCATTAACATTGTAGAAGAGAGCGAAAGTGATGAAGAACAAAATTTTGAGGTCGGTAACTATGAGGGTGGTAATGTTACAGCTGCAAATACTGGGAAAGAGTTGGCGTGCATTGTCCAACGCCTTTTACTTGCACCAAAAAAGCCTGATAGCTTACGACGACAAAAAATCTTCCAGACTCGATGCACTGTTCGTAGTAAGGTATGCAACGTAATCATTGACATTGGTAGTAGTGAGAATGTCGTTTCCAAAGCAGTGGTAAAAGCTCTAAATCTGAAGATTGAGAGACACCCTTCTTCATAGAAGATTGCATGGATTAAAAAAGGTCCAGACGTTCAAGTTCTAGAGATCTGTAAGGTTCCTTTGTTGATTTGGCGCCTGGAGCTAGTTTGCCCTTCCACAGATTGAATTTGCTTTTAATAGTATGCTTAATCGATCCACCAAGAAGACTCCATTTGAAGTCGTTTACACTAGTGTTCCAAGACATACAGTAGAATTGATTTGACTTCCAAATGTCAATTCTAATGCAGAAGAGTTTGTTGAAAGTATTCAAAGAATTCATTATGAAGTAAAACAAAATTTAGAAGATGCTAATATTCGTTACAAGACTGCTGCAGATCAACATCAACGCCTTAAGCTGTTCAACGAATGTGATTTGGTGATGATCCATCCCAACAAAAATTGTTTTCCTGTTGGCATTACACTAAGCTTAAAGATAAGAAGATTGGTCATTTTCGCATTCTTCAAAAGATTGGTGATAATGCTTACAAAGTTGACATTCCCGCTGATATGAACATTTTTAATACTTTCAATGTTGCTGATATCTTCGAATACTTTCTTCCATATGAGTTTTCCTTACATCCACAAAACTCGAGGGCTAGTTTTAATTAAGTGGAGGGGATTGATGTAGTACATCACAACTACAATTAATAGTTTCACTTTATTTAGGAATTTGTCTTTTTTAAATTATCTTTTATAATTTCATTTTCTAGTTGTAATAGGTTTATTCTTAAATCTTGTTTAGATTATGATTAGTTTATTTCCTTTAGAATTTAGTTTTTTTTATTTTAATTTCCTTTTATTAATAGGATTATGGATAATTTTGACACTAAATATAAGGGTATTGACATTTTTTAATCAATCAATCATATATCAATATAAAGCAAGATTATTCCAATATAATTATTATTTTCAATTCTTATTACAAGAATTTCTAAATTCTTCCGCACCAGTGATCTTATTTGATTCCATTTTGTGTAGATCTGATAAGGCTGGAAAACTGCTTGCTGAAGTATTGTTAAAGGGATTGCAAGGACATAGGTTAGAAAAGAAGAAATTGTGATTATCCTTATTGAATTACATTCGAAGTTAGAGTTTACTATTCATCCAATTTTTATTTCTGGCTTTTCATGAATTTTCCAGGCCTGTGACACTTGTAGGTTTCTCACTTGGTGCAAGAGTTATTTTTAGTTGTCTCCAGATTTTGGCTGAAAGTGAAAATAGTGGTGAGTAACACCTTCTAGCTGACCCCACTAATCTTTGGCACAGTTTATTGCTCCATCCTAAAATAAAAGATTGGAAAAAGTTAATGCTATTAAGACTTGACGAGTATAAAGAAAGGTGAAACGTGTTCATCTCTTTATATTTTTAACATATCCCCTAATGTAGGGGCCCAATTCTTTTATGATGTGGCAGGCGCATGCTCATTTATAATATGCCAAATTAAACAAGATTTTCTGTGGATTGGATAGCTAGAACCTGGCAACATGGACTCAAACACTTTAGGAATTAGTAGGCAAGTACTGTACCAGTAGTCTATAGAGTTCCTTGCACACGCTACCGTAAACATAGAATGGGCGATGGTTCGAAGTTTGTGACAGAATGAAATGCTAGAAACGATTGATATATTTCTGCCATTTAATTACAATTTAGTATTTGACATGGGATTTTACCTTATTATCTTATTGCTAGCTTTGGACTCGCGCTTAAAAATCTCGTAGTTCTGTCTCTCAATGTTGAAACTTCAAACCTTAGAATATGCTAAACATTTGGGTTTTACTAGTCTTTGCTTCTTTCCTCCAAATGCTCTCTTGGTCATATAAAATTACCAGATTAGCATTTTCTTGGAGCCTCGTTTATTTCCCAGTCCTTGACCATCAAATTAACAAAGAAGTACCGCCAGGTTTAAGAATTCAAACAAGTGATTCTGGAAAGTTCTATGGTGTATCAACTCTAACCAGATTTCAAATTTGACTTTAAATATATAAACCTGGGTCCTGTTATTCCGATGACTTCTAATTCACAATACCCCTTCCACCCCCACCTCCAGTTGAAGGTGTCAGTGATTAAAATCGTGCCCTTTTTGACAACTTACATTTAAGATATGATGGTGATTTAATATGGAATCAGATTTAGAATATTGACATGTCACAGAATTAAGATTCACGGCCTCCCACAACTAATTGTAAATCAATAATTTCATGTGCTAAACCTTTGAGAAAAATTAATGTTATCTGGATGTCGTTGTCCTTCTAACAACTTAAACTTTTTAAGTGGGAACACCATCGCCAAAAGAAAATCTCTTTTAAGTTCTGTATTCTATAATAATGATTCACTCCCCCAATTTTTGTCAGCTGGACTTGTGGAAAGAGTTGTTCTACTTGGAGCACCCATTGCAATTAAAGATATGAATTGGGAAGCTACTCGAAAGGCATTGTTGCTTTACCTTCTGCACTAATAATCACAAATATTGATATTGTATCAAGAATAATCTGTTACTGTTAATGCATATGTTTAGCCTTCTTCATTGTGCAGGTGGTGGCTGGGAGATTTGTGAATGCATATTCTACTAATGATTGGATACTTGGAATTGCATTCCGTGCCAAGTACACAACTCTTAAATCTACTGTTGAAATTTTTAGGATTGTGAAATTGGTGGTTAAATTACATCTTGCTTTTTGAATTGAAATACATGCCCAAGTGCCGTTAGTAGTATCATGTACAAAGGAACAAGTGAGTTTTGTTGTCCACTCTCTTGCTCATTGATTTTCCAAATTTGATGTTTCCATTTTCCTATGACAGTCTTCTTACACAAGGATTGGCGGGAATTCAACCGGTGGAAGTGCCTGGAATTGAAAATGTAAGTATTATTGCTAATGCTGGTCAACACGACACAGCATAGCATTTGTTGGGGATTTCGTTTTTGTCTTATAGTGGCTCTCCATTGACTTTGACAGGTTGACGTAACTAGCATAATTGATGGTCACTCCTCGTATCTTTGGAGTACCCAAGAGATCCTAGAACAGCTCGAACTGGATACTTATTATCCTATTTTCAGTCCCCCTGCTTTCAAAACATAGATTGTACTGAACTTCTGGCATGGAGTGGAATTGCATCAGAGGTTTCATCTTTGTCAGAAATGGAGGTTTGGATCTAATTATAAGTGTTACTGTTGAACCAAGGATATTTTATTAGTAACAGCTTAGTACTTGTATCTAGATTTCAGTTTACCCTTGTTCTCTAAACAGGTATCAATCATAAGAATTGCACAAATGAAACAGGTAAAACAGGTGGTGATATAGAATGTCTTTGCAAGTTCATATTACTGAGGAGATCAAGTGGGCTGTAAAAGTACCAAATAGATGCACAAGAAATTTAATAGATCCACCCCCCCCCCCCCACTTTTATATGTTT